GTTTTGTGACATTTGTATGTATGTATCTTGCACAGCACAAAAATGAGTAGCCATAGAGTGTTGAAATTTTGTACATAGGACTGCTATATTATGTAGTTGTGCACCTTCCTTTTTCATTGCAATTGGCCCTACCAAACGTGTATATATATTTCAACTCTGTTACCCGGCTTGATGAGTTCATTTTATTTAGACCTATGGTGGTAAGACTGCCCAGTGGCAAAGTGGCTAGCACATTGTGCAGCTGCACCACAGATCACAGGTTTGGTCCCCGGGCTGGGTAAGGTTGACTCAGCCTTTCATCCCTTAAGTGGGTCAATAAAATGAGTACAGAGTTCACTTGGGGACTAAACACCGGGGGTCCTGCGACAAGCTGACCACTTACCTGGGGCATATGTGAATGCACTCTGGGGTCCAAATGTCAAGAAAGCAGAAATAGGGCACTGCAAGCCGTGGTCCACTAGGCCTGTTATGCCGATGAGTTTAGTTTTAGTTTTATATGGTGGTAAATTGTGCATTTTTTGCTTAAAAGTGATTGATCTATGTTGTTCCTACATTCCAGTTAAAATTTTTATGCCTTCAGTTAATCTGCGTGCAATAATTGTAGAATTATCAGTGATTTAAAAGTTTAAGCAGTACTAGGCTTAATGAGGCCGTTATTTTCTTACATTTGAAACTCCTAGTAGAATAGTAAATTAAGTCAGTTGGTGCACCAACGTCAATGACTTTTCCCCCATTTGGACTAAAAGTTATTTTTTAATTTTGTGCATCGGGAATTTTGTCTTTCTGCCCCCTGTCCAAATTGCTTGTTTCTGCATAGAAATTCTAATTTTAATTGTAATTTTCTTTTTACTGTTTTTAACTGTATTTGGTGTTTTATATTTTTCAGTATTTTAAAATTTTTAATGAAAGTTTTTTCAGTTTTTATGTATTTTTGGCTTCCCACAAAATGATAACTGAATTAACTAAATGAAAAATCTGAAAATCGATTTTTTTTTTTTAAGATTTAAAGGTCCTGTGCCTTTAAATCTTCAAAAATAGATAAATAGAAATCTAATAAATAGATATCTCTTGTGGACACCATATGACTTCCTTCTACAATTTATTAAATTCTTTGCTAATGAATCTAATGAAATGCCTGTATTTAAAGATTCTTAATGAAATCTAAGGAAATATGTTTGAATGAAATGCAGCAAAAAATGCAAAGAATTTAATAAACTGTAGAAGGAAGTCATGTGGTGTCCACATTAGATATCTATTTATCTATTTTTGAAGATTTAAAGGCACAGGACCTTTAAATCTTCAAAAAAAAAATCGATTTTCAAATTCTTACAGGTAGTTACGTATTAACGCAACCAGGCCAAAATTCGCATAAATTTCCAAATTTGGCGACCCTACATGTTATACGTAGTTTTGTAAAAAGAGCATGTGCAGATTCACAAAATTTTCCTGCATTTTCGTGCAAATTTTTGTAATTTATGAGAAAATAGCAGAGTACACGGATAAAGTCAAAAGTGTGTGCAATGCCATTTTTGTGCAATTCTGGGATGTTTTTTTAAGTCAAAATAAGTCGACGTGTACATGGTTATGGCGAATACGGTTTTCAATCAGTGCTAAAAGCAATAGGCAAAAGATTTCCGCCGAAAAAATAATTCTGCAACTTATTCAAATTCGAAACCGGAAGGGTTTAATTGCTATTTGATATTTTAAAACAAAATAATATAAAAAACTGTATTAAAAATTATCTGTAATTAATAAATGTACATTTTCTTTCTATTCATACTTTTTAACTCAAACTTACAAATTGCGCCAACCTGGTTGCGATAATACGTAAGTACCTTTTTACATTTTATGAATATATAAACATTTCTGAACAAAATGCGAAAAAAAACCATGTAGTAAAATTCGCATTATTGTTTTAGTTATGAAAGTTTATATCGTATAGTAAATCAGCAACGCTCGTTTAAAGGGACAAATATGATGGTTGTTTACATTTTGGTTACCCTGTATACGAGCTCGCTCATATTTTTATTATTATGCAAAGAAATATTTAATACTGTTTCTTTCTTTTTTTTTAAAAAAAAAAAAAATTTCCTTTTCGTGTAGGGTAAAGAAGGATGGCAACTGCTGCTCAACTTCACTGCTGGTAGTTTGTTAACATGATAATTCTCTATTACCACGCTGCTAAATCTAACGTCGTTTGAGTGTTTCTATTTCGGTCTTTCATATCAAGTTTGTTTTACTGAGTAAACGTTTATGTAAAGATATTTGTTTTGAAATTTAAAAATGAATAATAATATCAAAAGGGCTTCAGGTCAAAGACCTAAGAAAAGGAAAAGGAATAATTTTTGTGGAAATCAGTACACACAAATTAATGATAAAGATGCAAATGTCTCTGCATCAGCAAAAAAACTTCTAGATCATTTAGTAGTATCAAGTGATGGCGAATTTGAAGGGTATGCAATCATTGATAAAAGTTTATTATTTTTTGGATTAGAAGAATACTTATGCTGTCATATTTGCCGTAATAAAATTAGTATTACTTCTGAAGTAGTATATGGATTAATCATAAAACTAAATATTTCATGCTGCTCTTGTGGAGTACTAACATCTATAAGAAATTCCAAGCTTGTAGGTGAAAAACAAAATGCTTCTGATTTAAACAGAAGATTTACTTCAGCAATGAGGTATATTGGAAAAGGATTGACAGAATCCAGAACATTTTGTGGAATTATGGATCTACCACCACCTGTAACACAGAAGTTATATGACAAAATTGTAAGTCATATGCATGCTGCTACACGTAACATTGCGGGAAATAGTATGAAGATAGCAGCTGACGAAGAAATAAAAATGACTGGTTCTTCAGATTTGACCGTCAGTGGAGATAGCACATGGAAAACCAGAGGACATTCTTCACGTTTTGGTGTAACTTCCATTATTGGTGGTGAAACGGGTAAAGTTATTGATCATTATGTTTCAAGTTCCTACTGCAAAGGTTGTGAGACTGGAAAAAATATATCCTCAAAGGAAAGCTATTTGAAATGGAAAATGGAACATAACAAAGTATGCAGTAAGAATCATTTAGGTTCATCTGCACAAATGGAAGTGAATGGTATGTTAAATATGTTTTCGCGATCCGAAGAAAAGTATAACGTTCGTTACGTTAATTATATAGGTGATGGAGATTGTAAAACTTTCTTAGCCCTTAATGAAGGAATAAGCCCGTATAATGTTCCGATTTCGAAGATAGAATGTGTAAGGCCACATTCAAAAACGAATGGGATGCCCGTTTGAGGAAATTAAAACAGGGAATTCCGTGGCAAGAAACCTTATGACAAGAAACCTCTTAGCGGTAAAGGTTCAACTTACGGATATGTGGTGATAGATCAAATTACATCATATTTATGGTAATGCCATTAGGAACGCATTCTGACAATTACCATGATATGCAAAAAGCGATATGGGCTATTTGTACCATAAACGTTCAAATGATAATGAAATAACTCATGACTTTTGCCCCGATGGTGTTGATTCTTGGTGGCGCATACATAAAAGAGCAGTTGTAAATGGCACAAATGAAAACTTTAAACATACAAATTTCAGTTCCTATAGCAAGTTATGGATGCTATAAAACCTGTATTTAAAGATTTGTTCCCACCCAGACTTCGCTAAAGAGATGCATTGGTGGTCAAACACAAAATGTGAACGAGTCGCACTAAATTCATTGATCTGGACGTTTTGTCCTGAAAACAACAAACAATAGTAGGAAAATTGTAGAAATTTCTGCAAACTTAGCAGTAGCCAAGCTTTAATGATGGAAAACAGGACAACGCTGTTTCGTCATGAAAGAACTAGAATGTATACTTGGAGCTAACTGTGTAAGCATTTGCAGCAGAAGCAAATAAGAATTCGTATTAAATTCGCACAGAAAGAAACGAGCCAGGGCAATACTTTTTAGAGGCTCGAATTACTACAGAAAGAAGGGAAAAAAAGGAAGCTGATGAGCTTCATAAACAAAATGAAGGAGTAGTTTATGCTTCTGGTGCATTTTAAATGTGTTTTGAAAAATATACATTATAGAAAAAGGATATTGTATCTTTAAATTCGATTTTCTCAAATTGATAATTTTCAAGTTTGCGCGCAGTCTTATTATCAAACCATATATGCTATGTCTATAAAAATTTAAGTGTGTGTATGCTACTGTTGTTACTGTGCATGCTAAAACCAAAAAATTTACATATGTCTATATATACATATATTTACCTTTAAAAAGTGATAAAAAATTACATATTTTAAAATTTTTTAAATGTTTTCTTAATTTTTCAAATTTAAGATTTGATTTTTTTATATATTTTGGTTTTACGTTAGAGGTTAATGTATTTCGAATACATTTTTACCAAAAATTGTTTTCTTTATGCAATATTTTCACATTTATGATGCACGCAACATTTGACAATTTTTATTTACATGTCTCTTATGTACATTTTAAAATTTTTAATTTACAAATTATTTATTTATTTACTATGTTCATTTCATTTATTTATTTCATTTCCAAATCTATTTAAGTTATAAAGTAAAAAAAAAGTATAACTTTTTAATTATATAATATGAGTTTTTGTGTTTTCAAGTTTGAGTATTTTTATGATCGTTTCGACGGGCCCAAAGGTCCTGTGCCCCCTTAACTGAATGAAAAATATATCTCTAATGAAATCTAAGGAAATATGTTTGAATGAAATGCAGCAAAAAATGCAAAGAATTTAATAAACTGTAGAAGGAAGTCATGTGGTGTCCACATTAGGTATCTATTTTTTATTTTTTTAATTTAAAAATTTTTTCTGGGCTTAAATACAATGATAACTATTTTTTAATATTTTTTCCAACTTGCCAATTTTTTAAATCTTATTCCAGCTTGAATCCGAACAGAACTTGATAATAATTACTTTCAAAATAAAAATCTTCTTTAAGCTATGGAAATAATTTTAATTATGTAAAAAACTTACTTCAAAACATGCAAAGCACATATGCCTCTTTCTGTTACATTATGGCATCCACTGATATCAAGATATTCCAAAGAAGTTTCAAATAAATGTGATCGACTAAGGCACCAATCATCAACATTTGGACAATTACGAAGATATAGTTTTTTCAACCAAATCAAATCACCTAACACCAAAAATAATTAATAAAAAGATAATTAGTACATGCTGAAGGGCAATTATTAATGATACATAACAATTCTACAAAGAGTTTTAAAATTCTTCAAAATATTATCTATTTAATTTTTTGCAACATATGATGAAGATAAAACGACCTCTTGAAAACCGGATATACAAAAAATGAGAGCTTATGCAAATATTATAATTAAATTAAATTTAAATATTAAATTAACTTTAATTATAATATTTGCAAATTTCTCATTAAACACTTTCAGCTATTTCTTGTATGATAAAAATCCATTATTAATGAAAATCTTGCAAGAACAGAAATGATAATGAGTCTTTTTTTTTAATCAGTTTTATACTTTAAATGTAAATGCATAGCTTCTGGACAATTTCAGTGATGGGAGTTAATATAAAAGTTATTTTAATTTCTCTTTAAGCTTATCTACAGAAACAGTAAGCTATTTTACAGCTTTAAGTTAGCATGTAGGGTTTATATTTATTTTAACTAACATTTATTTTAAGTTTAAACTATCTTTCCTGTCAAGCCTTACTTTCCCCTGGAACAGCCAATGCCAGAATATGTAAATTTTAGTAGAACGCGCAAGGATTCAAATTATCAGCGGAAGTATTATGATTTAAATAGGAAGGGGAAACGAGTTCGGGTATGTATTCTTACTTCACGAGCGCAGAGGTAGTTAGCGAGAAATTGAAGAACCCCGCGTTTCGGCCTATGTGTTGGCGGGAGAAGTAGTGTTAATCGTTCAAGTGAGCTTCAAGTCTGCTGAATTAGCAGCAGTATTGTAAAACGCGGTGAGTTAGTTATTTTAGAGAGCCTCGTACTTAGAGTCTTGTCTTTAAGTTCTTTTCAGGTTATTATTTTTTATTTGACCGCCGAGTTGACGCCGTCTGTAAGCGTCAAGAGCACGCAATTGTAATTTATTACGTTGAATAAAAAGGGACTTAAACCCTTTACAAGACTCTGTGTTTTATCCTGTTTTCACAGTCACCCCTTGGTTGCGTGCAAGTTGGAGGCGCGCAGCGTTACAAGCAATATGAAAAAATATTCTATTTTCTTGTTCAGCTTAGTAAGTTACTTATTTTCATAACTTGTATAAAAAAAATTTACTTCATTTTCATAACTTGAATAGCAAAAGTTACAGAAATGTAAAACTTGTCAGGGTCTAGCTTTGACAGAAACAAGTTTGAGTTGAACTGACAGCTAAATCCTACAAGTACAGAATCACTCGGACAAAACTACCAGTCGATGACCTCAACATTTCCAGGCATAGGATAATACAGAATCTTTCATTTCATTTGGCCACTTGAACTATGAACATCCTCCCAGGATAAACATTTTTTTTTAAAAAAAAGGACATTTAAATACAGGACACATTTACAACAATGACCCTTTGCATCCTACAGATAAAGAACATTATACCAAGTATTTTTTAGAGCGAAAATCAATTTAAGCATTTATCTTAATAAATTCATCATTCAGTATTAATTTTCTTATGCACAGTCTAAAAAAAAAATTTTTTCCGAGTTCAGACAATATGAGTATTCTAGCAAGAAATTGCCTTACGTAAATTTTCAAAACCTTCATAGCATATGTTTAGACCAGATGCATCCAATTCTTCAACATGATACCCTGGTTCATATTTTCTTGGTACTTCTCCACTCCGAATATGATCAACTGTTGACCAGGAATCTTTTCCTTTAAACTTAATTTTCCCACCACGATGAGCAATAAAATGTGTTGTTGCTAAATCTGGGCCAAGAGTTTTATGTCTATCTGGTATGTACCTGAAATGAAAGAAATATTAAAAACTTTGTAATGTTCTTTTTACACTTTGCTTTCTAAAATTATTTTAGTACAACTGAATTAATTTAAAAATTATTTATGACAGGTCATTACATCTAGTGGCAATCAGATTTTCTTCAATGCCACCTACCTTTTCCTTCCAGTAATCACAAAACTGCTTGTATTTTCCCAAAGTTCAATTTCCACACAAAATTATCTTCTATTAATAAAATTTATTATTCATTTCTTAAAATACTTTCAGAATTAATTCTTGATGTTAAAAACATATTTTTTCCAGTGTGTTTCAGCCAATATCAACCACAATAAAACAGGGTTAAAATTTTATATGAAAGAACATGACTCTTAAAGATGGGAGAAAAAATTAAAATGTTCTATAAGTAATTATTATTGGTCACTTCACAATTTTTTTAACTTTAGTTCCATTAAAGTATTTTCATGATTTCTTCAGCTGTTGAATTAAAATTAGAAGTTTTCTATATATATATATAAAACTACCAGCTTTAATTCATGAATTCATTTAATTTTATATTTAATTTAATTTAATTTAATAATATTTGCTCTAATCCATTTTTACCCAACATTTTTAAAGGAACCATCTCATTATTTTTGGACATTTTGTTTCTGCTTTGTCCTACAGATGGATCATTGTAGGATACTATCATTGTTGCTTCTCTTTTTATCAACACCTCTAGAGAAGTATTGTTGTTTTCCCACATGCATCCATGCAAAATATGCCACCACTTAATCTGAGAAAAATATTTGTTGAAGGCTTTGTACTTAAGGGATCTAACAAAAATAAATGTATAACTACATCTTGAGTAACACCCCTACTTATTAAATAAGTATAAAAGTCTTTTTGTTATGTTAATTCTGATGGAATAATAGACACTGATATTCTGAACAACTCTTAAATATTGAATTGCTTCAATTGTAAGATACATATTTTGGGGAAAGTGAAGAATCGTGCACTGCTTGGCCCGTTTTTTCAAATCGCCAACTTGAAAATAACAAGTCAAAGAATTGCACAAACTCAGTATCCATGTACACATTGACCTATTTTCACTTAAAAAAACACCAGAGAATTACACAAGCTTGGCATTACGCTCTCCCTTGACTTTGCCCATGTACACATTGATATGCGGCAAATTAAATGGGCAATTCTGCACTTCACCCCATATTTTTTCCTACATGCACATCTTTAAAATCGAAAGATATCTTGGAATCCACAAAGTCTTAGAATTGTAGATATTTCTAAATTAATAACTGTTTTGAAAAAAATTTTGCTAGATTACTAACTTAAAGAACTGCTTTGCTTAAATAAGTTTCCAAGTTTTAATATTTTAATTTTAATTATATACCTTTATTTGAAATGTCAGATAATAATCTGAAGTTTTTATACTGCAATTTTTCCCCCTATTTAAACTATATATCTTTAGTCTACATAGCAGAAATGTTTGCTTCTTGAGAAGAGGACTCCATGACAGATTTCCTGAAAAGGGCTAGAGTATTTCTACTAAAATGATGATAAGTTGAATTATATCTAATTCTTGTGGTTCATACCAGTGTGTTAGTCTTCTAAATGATTAAAAAACAATTTTCTGCTTTTATTCTTGTGCCATAAGATAACAAACAAATAAACTATAAGACAAAACAAACCTTAAGCAGCTATCCCTGCAAGTAAATTATGAACCAAAGCAATATTTCTCTAGCAAAGAGTATACAGTTTGATTTTACTCTAAAGCAAAATTTAACGTACATTTGATCTTTCCGCATAGCTTCAAATTTTTTCTCTTTATACCAGTTTTTTGCAGCAAGTATTAGGTCTTTCTGGTGAAAAAATGCATAAAAATCTGTTACAAATATTCTACCAGGCCTTCTAGCTTTCATATAAGGTGTCTCATACTCATCATAATATTCTTTTGGTAGCAGACGAACTCTGCCTCTTTGCAATGCTATATAAGGTAAGTATGTCACAGGCTTTAATATGGTTCTTCCAGATAGCATGTTTGCCCTAAAAAAATAATTTAAAACAAGTTACCATTATTGGCAAACAATTTTAGCTGAGTGTAAAATTACATACAGAAATCACAAACTTTAAAATAGTTATTTTTAATCTATATTATCAAATTCCATGTAATGTTGCATTCAAGGACAAATGAGAGATCATCTTATAATGAATTTCTTCAATAATTCATAACTTCAGTTGAATTTATCTTTTTGAACAATCCCTTTTTATTTTACTATGTTAGAGAACCTTTTTTGTTTTTTAATGTTAAATTCAAAAAAAGGACATCCAACACTTTTCACTCTTTGCAAACAAATATATCCTAATCAAGATTAATATGCCATTTATTGCTAAATAATACTAAAATATACTAATAATTTTATAAAATTACAAATTCATCAGATAAATTACTACCAAAACAATTTAAGCAAATCAGCAGTTGTTTCGACAACATACTTTTGTTATGGACTGAACAGGTATAAGGCAAAATTTAAGGTACCTTCTGATTATTTATATAACCCCACCAAACAATTTTTAAAAAAAGTATTGATGAGATAATGCACGTCATCAAAAATTATTTATGTAACAAATCTGGAGTGCAAATAGTACATGTGAGTTGGAGTATATGCGGATTTGCAGTTTTGAAATTTAACAGTAATTTTTCTGGTTAGTACAGTCAAAAGCTCGTTAATCCGGGCTCGTCGGGACTTCGGCGATTCCGGATTATCGATTTTTCCGGATTATAGATCATCTGTTTAAATCTGGTAAGATGGCATGCAGAAATTATAAAATTAAAAATATGAAACCGTAATTTATGAAATAAAGAACATATATATATATATATCAAAATTTAAAAAAAAAAAAAGCTTAATATTCATTTTACTTTATTAAACATTTCTTTCAATGTAAGTTGTTTAAGTTGCTTCGTTTTATGAGATAATACTTTCTCTTTAATTCTATAAACAGACATAATTTCTTGTTCAGTTACAAAGTTCCGCTGTTCAAGTCCTATAATTGCTGTGTCGAGAATACCGACTAATTTGTCAATCAAAATTTTTTCGTTTTCAATAACCTCTGTGTCACTTTCTTCACTATCGAAAACGAATTATAATGACGAGGAATTTAAGTCATATCAAAGACGGAGCACATCGAAATGAAATAATACATTTAGTAAGGAATTATAAACCAAATAAAATAAAAACATCTGCCCTGGAGATAAGGATAGTGCTGACAGATCAATTTACAATTCATTGCGTGCCGCCAATAAAACATGTAGAGATTTTCACTTAAAAATTCCATTCTTAACTTCACTTATGCACTAAATAAAATACCTCGTTATGGAAAAACAATCATGTAAGCATAAATTTATGAGATTAATAATTTGGTTGAGTATCTGCTTGGCATACATCTCAAACCCAAACATTCGCCTATTTTACGTCCCTGACACGGACCTGGTGAGTCATTATTTATTATATTTTGCTTTCATCATATTTATCAATACATGACAGCTTCAGTGATAACTCATGCAGTGATTTCTAAACGTTTTTTTTGTATTAGTTATTGAATAAAAAGAGTAGGGCAACCTTTTCTGCTAACATTACGCACTTGGCGAATGATTATAGATTTTTTAAATGCTCTAAGAAGATGTTGATGAGAAGAGAAACTTCAATAAAAATTTCTTTTCATATGCTCTAAAAATAGATTTTGTTAATGAAACTCAATAGGCCAAAAGATCACATTTAGTGCAAATTTAATTAAGAATAACTGTTATGCTATTCACCATAAACCCAGAAGCGGCGGCAGAATATGTCGGCACTGCATCGGACGGCAGAATTTAAGGAAAACATAATTTTTGGAATTTGGGAAAGCACCCGAGGGGCAAAATTAAGGGATGAAAAGTTTTTTATAATTTAGGGGGAAAAGCACTGGGAATCCAAAGTTTAGGCACGGTGAAAATTTAGACCTTAGGAAGGCACTTTGTAGGCGAATTAGGATCCGTAGAGACTGCACCAGGCGGTATCTAGCGCCGGCCCTAGATAAAGCTTTAAGTATATGTGAGAGTTTATTTATTCAGGACTCAGATTAGTTTTAAGCCTGTGCAAGAAATAAATGTAGGTATAGTAAATAACTAAACTAATACAATTCAGGTTTAATTCAGTACGCAATAAGAGCAAGACAAAATTTAGCAAAACAACTTGGCTTTCATCGCCAATCTTGTGATACACAGCCACTAATGTATAACGGACGCTATTAAGCTAGACTAAAATTATCTTTACTAATTCTAAAGCATTTCAGTTAATGTAGCAGACTGCGCTGCTCCCTAATCTTCTAATTTGTCCCAGCTTATGTTATTTTACAATTTTGCAGACTGTTATTATAGCAATTTTATAAAAATTAACGCTTGAACTTTCGATTATGTCAAAAAGAGTTTCCAATTCTGGAGCTGCCAAAGGATCTACAAAGCTGAAAGCACGTTTCGAATGTCCATTAAACAAAAAAGTGGCATTGCTGCAAAAAATGGATAAAGGCATATCCATCTGAAAATTATGTGAGAAGTATGACATTGGAAAGTCAACTGTATATGAAAGAAAAAAGAAGGAACTCTTGGAATTTTTTGTGCCAACTGACATTGAAAGAAATGTTTAATAAAGTAAACAAATAATACTACACTTTTTTTGTAAATTTTGATACCCTTTAGATCATAATTGTTCTTTATTTCAGAAATTACGATTTCATATTTTTAATTGTATAATTTCTGCATGCCATCTTACCAGATTTAAATTGATGATCTAATATACGGAAAAATCAAAAATCCGGAATCGCTGAATTTCCAATGAGTTCGGATTTCGGACTTTGTACCGTAGTACCAAAAAATATAATCATTAACTTAGCTCATGAATCATTATTTATTAACCAATCTCATCATTATTTGTCAACTGACCTCATTACCTCCACAGTTATAATTTAATTATTAATGCGGTTGATCTTTACATTACGGTAACTGGTAGTTTGGCGACATTTTGGAGGCGATAAAGGTTACTACCTAGGACTTTGGGTAATAATGTAAGAAGTACTGAGTTCCGATTACGCATTATTTTGTGTGGGAGGCAAATGAGAGATCATGGAGATGTGCCATGTGACGTTAATGGACGAATCACTGTTCTTTAATCGGAAAAGGGGGCAAATCGGGAAAAAATCTGGAAATTTTGTATTTGGCTTTATTCTGTGTTGTGTGAAATAGTGTTTTGGAATTTTAGATCCCATGGCCGTAAGTAAAGTGAATTCGAAATGGGTATTTAGTGGTATTGAAAAGGATAGTAAGAAATGTTTTTTTAAGGTTGTGTGAGAGAGAGAAATAAACATGTTTTATTATGTTATTTATTTACCTGGTATCTTGCTTTGAGAGATAAGTATGATTTTAAAGATTCTGAAAGAGAATGAAGAAAAGTGTATCCGCCACGTAATGAAGATTCTGAAGGAGGATTAGGTAAGTTAGTATTTTAATTATTTTTATGCATTGTTGGAAATGTAAGGTGGAAAGGAATTTGGTATATGGGAAAATTGTTATTAGCAATGATTTAGTTTAAAGTAATTAGGATTGTAAGGTAATTTTTATTAATTGAATGTATGTGCTCATGTATATTTTTAAGTGGTGTTTTTGAATTTAATTATATTTAATGAAATGATAGTTATTTTGTGAATTTTTATACTTGTAGGAATTTGGTGGATGTTTAAGTTGAAATAAATGTGCATGGAAATATTTAATATTTGATAATAAATATTTGTAATGCTTCATGTATGAATTCGTCGGTGACGTGTATAATGTAATAGATGATTTAGAGGTAAAAGTTTTTGGATATTTATTTATTTATATGTGGAAATGTTCATATTGTAAAGGGTAAATACTTTTTCGCGATCATGTAATTTCATATATGTTCTTTTTACTGGGTTTAAAGATTGAGAAAAATTGTCATGTATTTCTTGAAATTTTTTAATTTATGAGATAAAAGCAGTGTACATGGATATAGTGAAGAGTGTGCGCAATGCCATTTTTGTGCAATTCTGGGATGTTTTTTTAAGTAAAATAAGTCGACGTGTACATGGTTCAGTGATATTTTAATGAAATGATAGTTATTTTGTGAATTTTATGCTTGTAGGAATTGGTTTACGTTTAAGTTGAAATAAACGTGCATGGAAATAATTTAAATATTTGATACTAAATATTTGTAATGCTTCATGTATGAATTCGTTGGTGACGTGTATAATGTAATAGATGATTTAGAGGTAAAAGTTTTTGGATATTTTATTTATTTTATATGTGGAAATGTTCATATTTGGTAAAGGGTAAATACTTTTCGCGGATCAGGTTAATTTCATATATGTTCTTTTACCGGGTTTTTAAAGATTGGAAAGAAAATTGTCATGTATTTTCGTGAAATTTTTCTAATTATGAGAAAAAAGCAGTGACATGGATATAGTGAAGAGTGTGCGCAATGCCATTTTGTGCAATTCTGGGATGTTTTTAAGTAAAAAAATAAGTCGGCGTGTACATGGTTTATGTGTATGTGTTATTTTGAAAAACGCGTAAGGAGTATGGTATTGTGCACTTTTTCCCAATTTTGCAGTGAATATTTGTCATGATTAAGCAGTTTTGTTAGATAAAATTTCTAGCATAAGTGTAATTCGGCTAGTAGATGTTGGAAGAAGTGTTCAGTAGATAAAAAGAAAAGAAACATGTCTTTACTTCGTGAAGATAAAATGGCGGCGGGAAAAAAAAAATAGAGGGTTGCTGTAGAAGAGTTGGTCGCCAAATTTTTGCCAAAAAATCGCCAAGTTACCGTAATGTAAAGATCAACCATTAATGCTAGTTAATATTTATGAAACATATTAAGTCTATGAATCAAGCAAGCAAACAGAAAACTTCACTTAATAAACTATCATAACATTTTTAAATTGTAGCTCAACTTATATAATTAAAAATAGTTTGTTTAATCTTTGGATTATGGTAACTTGGCGATTTTTTGGCGACCAACCCTGCTACAGCAACCTGCTAGTTTTTGTTTGACGCCATTTTGTTTTCACGAAGTAAAGGCTTTTTTTTTTTTTAACTCAACATTTTTTTCCAACAATCTGCTAGCCGAATTACACTTATGCTAGAACTTTTATGGAACAAAAGTGCTTAATCATGACGAAGATTAGATGCGAAATTGGGAGAAAGTGCAGAATCAAAAACTGCTTGCTGCGTTTTTAAGAATTGCACATACACAGTAACCATGTACACGTCAACCTATTTTCACTTAAAAAAAACATCCCAGAATTGCACTAAAATGGCATTGCACACACTCTTGACTTTATCCATGTACACTGCTAAAGTCCTAGCTATCACCTTACCAAAATGTCACCAAACTACTTGTTACCATATTCCAAAGATTAACCAACAGTTTTAACAGGTCAAAGTATAATTTTCTATTAAGTGTAAAAATTTAAAACTTCAAAATTAAAAAATGTTGAAGTGAAAAAATTATTAACTTAATAACCATGCTTTAATAAATATTGCACTGATATATGTAAAGTATACATTTTTAAAATTATTATGTATTGAATACTTAGCAAGCAGAGTAGCAATTTTTTATATTTTTAAATATATGTTATTAACTGAAACAGCTATTATGCATAGGAAGGTCAAAGAATATAAAACCAGTCAAATGTTGCTGCTTTTTAAAATCCAAGAATGATATTTTCAAATAATATAACATAAAATTTAATTGTATAGTTTATTAAGAGTGCATAAAATTTATCAGTTACTATTTACAATTAGAATTAAATAATCCATACCTACATTGTATGGACATGATAAAAAATATATTAAATTTGCCTCAAGTAATGATGGATAAACAGATGACCACTCCCATGATATCCTTGACCTAAATTACGTATATCAAACTGGCACCTAAGAAAGTGGTTTTGAGAGAATTTTTGTTGTTTCCAGGCACATTTTGTAAAACAAATTAATGGACAAATACTGAAATGAAAATGAAGCAAATAACATCAGAGTTATTACTTGACTTCAATGTTATTAAAATGATTAAATTTTATAATTTCACTAGTATGCTTTTTCACTTTTTGTTAGTACAGGTAATCCCTAGTAATAATTTAGTTCAGGAAATCTCAGGTTTGTAACAGAGTTATTTAAATGTAAGATATGAATTTAATGTATTTCCACATGTAAGGAAAAAGAAAGAAAATTGGGGGGGGGGGAGGTCTGTCATTCTGAATACGGCAAACAAATATCCTTTATCAATTTTCATATATGATTCAATTTTATGCGTTCTCTCAATTACGCCTTTCATAAATAAACCCTGTTTTGAACATAAGATATACGGTGAAAGTAAAAATATTTTTTTAATAATAGGAAATGAGTGAAGACTCTGGGTAGTCGGCTGTCCGCTTCCCTGATTATGCTTATACTATCTGCGCAATACCGTTATGCATATAATTTACCGATGTTTTGACATGAAATTTTAATTACGATTTCACGATCAACCTGAAAGTCGAATTTAATATGATACTGACAGTAAACATTTCACAGTTATTTGACATTGACAATTAATATGACATTGATAATAAGCATTTCACAGTCTATATGAAGGGAAAGAGCTCGAATATAAGTATAATCCACAAAAGTTTGCAGTTTGGTGATAGAACAAAATTTTCCATTAGTACAAATACAACTAATTCAATAGCATACAGCTGCAGTATACGACTGATGAACAAAAATTTCCACTGCATGTGTTAATTATATTACCTTGATATTTTAAGAAACAAATATTATCTTGACAGGAATGGAGGATTCAAATGTGTGTTTAAATGATTTTCAAATGGGATTCAAGGGGTATTTAGAAATTTATACATTCATAAATCATCCACCAATAACACATGCATTACAATAAAACAACCAAAATAACTTTGCAAAACTAAAACTGGAAATACAGCGGACGACAATGTGTGCAAAACATTACACAGTTTGTCATAACTACAACACTTTAGTGCTGCAAGTGCAAGCAATTTCTAAATCAATAGCTAGCTTTAAATTTTTCTATTTGAAGCATATAGAAATTTTCTTTTATAGATATTATAGTTATAAAATGCTTGAAAACTGTATTTTAAACAGTTATTTTCTAACATTGGCTCAGCTGATATGCAAAAAAAAAAAAAAAAATACTTTACTACATATTTTTGGCATCAGTCTTCCTCATACGTGTAGCGCAATGGCTATTTCCTAAACAGATTTAATTGCTGTTCTTGTTTATTTACTTCTCTATTTCTGTACTGTTTGTGTGTTAAAAATTCAAAATGGTTCTTGCAGATTTGGGACGGAAAATAACGAACGCTTTGCGTTCTCTTAATAATGCTACAATTATAAATAAAGAGGTAAATAATTTTTTTCGCTAATATTTGAATGTTCGGGTACCCTATATTTTGTGTTAAACAGTTATTTTCGAATTTATCTGAATTTTTTAAACTTGTTATTTATCCTGTCGCTCACTACCGTAAATATTTCATAATCTGTAATACCGTAAATATTTCACAATACATTATACCCTTTAGGCATGTTTTTTACTCTACGATAGTGTCAATATGCTTGTGTATATAAATGTAATATTTATTTACATCATTTCCCTTGATAAAATTGCTCATTTATTACCAGGCTATATCAAAACAGTTTGTTCGAAGGTAACGAACGTTATCTTGAGTGTAAGCTTCAAATTAATTTTATTCATTCATGTATATTTTTTAATATCAAGAATAAAAAGAAGAGAAATATGCCAATGTAAAACCTAAAATTATGTAAAATGGCAAGCTTAATTTGGCGTCGCTTTTAATTTCTCAATTTCGAGGGTGATCAACTACAGGTCTCTCTTCTTAAGGAGCAAAAAACAGTTTTCGCGATCAAGAAATTTAAAGCTATGCCTCAATAAGGTTCCTGTTTTGGCTAATTTTAATATCAAGAATATTTGTTTAACAAATCATTTTGTTTAGTGGGTAAAATCCTAGTATACGGTGCAGCCTCGGCACGATTTTGAAAATTATCGCCAATACCAAAATGACCCGTTGAACTACTCATCGTATATGTCCCGTTTACTACTCATCATGAAGTCGCCAAATCTCTTGTGCACCGGATACTAGGATTAAACCGTTTAGTGTAATAGATCTTGCGCGAAACATTTCTGAAACCGAAGCCGAATATGAATTTTTCTGACATTCAAATTTTATATTTCTTATATTATTGGTTTCATAAACATGAAAGAAATTTCTGCATATAGTTTTATGAATCTGAATCGTGTAGCCAAAACTATTATCTGCTCATCCGATGTACCAGAGAACTGCTTTTTTCTAAAATGACCTGTGATTTAAATAATGGGGGGGGGGCAGAATCTGAAAGCTTTCAGATTTTATATTACGCTCAAAGATGCCCTTTTTTTTTATTTGACTTAACCCATTTACTATAACATTAAGGTTTTGTGTGTTACCTTTATTTATTAAATATCATATTCTTCACACTTAAACCATAAAATTCAACTCGACAGCAATATTTTAAAAAGAGCATGTCGTTAGAATTTCTGATGCACAGTCTTGCATGCTGGAGTTTTTTTTTTTTTTTTTTTTTTTGTACGGTGTTGCCATTGTTCGTTTTGAAATCGTTGAGTTTGTTAATAAAAAATTCATTAAAGATTACAAAATATGAAATAGATAATAAAACAAATTCCGAATTTAGGCTTCCAGATGCCCATATTCAAGTGTAGGACTACGTTATTCAAAATTTAATGTTTCTAGATACTGTTGTTTTTTCACAGTTCCAGAAATATGCATACATTCATGCTGATTCTTTATATTTAATTTCCTTAATATAATATAATACAGGGCTCTAAATATTTGGTAGCAACAATTTGAAAAGAGAAATGGTGTTTATAGTGAAACAATGCAAAATGCCAAAAGGAAAATAATATCCCTGC